TTAGGGTTTAGGGTTTAGGGTTTAGGGGTTTAGGGAGCTGCAGGAGCAGACAGACGGGAGCTTCTGTTTGGAGCAGCCCCCCTAATTTCGGAAACATGACTCGACGCAGTGTGCAGTCGGCAGGCCGTTGGGTTTGCGGAAGACCGAGGGCTCCTACAGAGAGGGCTATATAGTATAGGCTACAAAAATTAGGCGTCATAGCTGATCGGGCTTCCTAGATAAGCCCTACTGTAAAGCCCAAACCCCCAAACAAGTCATGTGAAGCCTCGCTCGCCTCCCTCGGGCTTCACCTTGGAACATGTCTGTATCATGTGGCTTTGTTCACGGGATTCCCTTTGCCCTCAAGCCCTTACAGCACTACGCTAGAACTCTTGCAGGCTTGGAGCCGAATTCTGGGGCCTTTGTGTGGACAACAAACCGCCGCAAGGCACGATAGCCAGCTGCGCGCTCCGACATTATGCACATATCGTAGTATAGGCTATATATTAGGCGCCATAGCTGAGCGGCTTTCATGGGATTCTCTTTACACGCTGCGAGCTCCGACAAATCATCTTATGCGCTCACAGCAGATGGGTCAACAGATTCGTCTGGGACGCTCGTACTGTACCTTCAGCATTCGTTCGCTGCGGCGTCTGCTTCCTGCACATCCGCTCCGCTCTGTGCAAAGCCACAGGGCACATCACACCATGAGAAAGGGACACCTGCAGAAGCAACAGCGGAGCTGGCCCCAACGCTCAGAGCTCAGAGTACGGTTTAGGGTTTAGGGTTTAGGGTTTTGGGGGCTCTTGAATTAGAATCAATAGGCACGACTGAACAGGCGGGGCAGGGGGGTTCGTCTAGCGCTGGTCTTCGCCCGGGGACTTCGGGCAAGGTCATGCAGAAACTGCGCTTCGGAAGGCTGGGGCATCGAAAACCAAGCCTCAGATGCCGGAACAGCCGAAGGATGCGTATCTCCGAGACTTCTCCGGAGAGCTTCCGTACAAAGCGGAGTCTCAAGCTTCCTTTCAAACGAAAAGCAAACCTGGACTTTCTTGCACCTCCGAGGTTACCCAAGACCTTCTCCATCCTTCTCACCTTTGAGACATAAACCCTATAAACCCTAAAACCCTGAAACCCTACACCCTTTGAACCCAACCGCGGCCCCGGACCTGGAGCCGCACCAACAAAGCGCCGGCCTCGGAGCCGGCGTCGTCGATCTTTACCTCGGAGGTTGACGCTGAAAGGTGGAGCCTAGATGACTCCGTGAGCATTGTGAGGAGACTTACCTGACTTGCACCGGTTCTCCCGAGCTTATTTAGGGTTACAGGCAGAGGGGTTGGGGTTTAGGGTTTGGGATTTAGGCTTCAGGGTTCTCACGCCTTGAACAACCGGATCGCCTGAGGAGCCACCAAGCACCCAGATATTCGGACTTTGGGTAGCAACAACCATCTAAAGTACAACAACCATCTCCAAGTACAAGACTTACAACTGTCTTCATGAAACCCTGAAGCTGAGGGCTTGAACCCTGATGGCCAAGTGAGGCAAGGAGTCACTGGGGAGCTTTGGTGCAACCTGGCCGCAGTAAACCTTGCACACTCCTGAAGATGCTCGAATCTCGCCCCGGCAGCACCTCATAAGGCAGTCCCGCAGCCACCACCCTGAATTTAGAAACTAACGCACCGAAAAAACTCCGAAAACAACAGGTTCAAAGTCAGGACGCCCGGCTTTTGCGAGGAGCCTTCGGCAGCGCTCCGGCCGCTTCCGAGACCTTCGCAGGGAGATGCAGGGCGGGAGCTTTCCCTTCGTTCCCGCCAGGCATCTGCAACTTTCACTTCAGGCTTCTTGCTCCGGCATC